CACTGAAGAATGTCTGTTTTTATCTGCTCTTTTTGTTTCCATCTTAAGTTCGTGAGGCTGGTGAGCAAGGTGATGTTGAACCTCGAAGAATTGTAAGACACCCTGACAGTCACCAACTCTTCATTGGCAACCTGCCTCATGAAGTGGATAAATCAGAGCTTAAAGACTTCTTCCAAAGTAGGTTATTGCATTTTGAACATTTAATTCATCTACTGCAGGGCTGTATGATAGAAGTAGGAGACCAGCCTTAGAATTTTTCATTTCATAAATATTTTAAGTAGTTAGAAAGAAAAAATAATGTAGGAAAGTTCTATTTTAATAACATTATGTTTAGTCCAGTATATCAAAAGCATTATTGTTTGGGCTATCTGAAAAGCTGTGTTTCCTTTGCAGACTATGGGAATGTGGTGGAGCTGCGCATTAACAGTGGTGGGAAACTACCCAATTTTGGGTTTGTTGTGTTTGATGACTCTGAACCTGTTCAGAAAGTTCTTAGTAACAGGGTAAGCAATTTTTCATCTTCAAAAATTTTAAAGAAAAATTATAATCAGAGTATATCTTGACTCATTAGAATGCATTCCCTTTTTTTTTTTTTTTCAAGTTTTTATTGTGGATTGCTGAAAGTTTATAGGACAGATCATCAATTTTTCATTCAACAGATCATATACTTGGTTTAATTATGATGATTACAGTCCCCTCCATGTACCATCAGTTAACCATTTTTCTCTTTATTCACTTTAGCTCTTAGGATGTATTCATTCTTATAGTTGTTCGAGCTGAGTCAGACTCAAAGGGTATAGGGTTTACAATGAGTGGGTTGTTGGGTTTGAACCACTGACCTTGAGGTTAGCAGTTCAGTGCTTACTCAACAGCACCGTACTCTGTGTAAAGAATAAATTGCTCAGACATATTTAGATAATTTGTTCCATCATGTTCAACAACTGTTACTAAAAAACCTGCCTGAGAGCTTAGAAAAACAAAACATATCTAAATCACTTCCAGTGTTTGAATAAGTGAATGAATGATGAGAATAAAAAATGAATAGTAATCAACGCACAGATATTTATGTAAATTCCTTTTGCTGGTTGGTAGCTTCTGCTGAGAAGGTGAAATACAATGCTACTGTTAAATGCCTTAATATAACAGTCTGTTCCCATGGCAGTCTAATATCGCTGTGTTCTGTGTACAGCTATTAAGAGTATTTCCTTTGATTCTATAAATTGGGTTTGTTGGCTTTGTGGTTAAGGGCTTGCCTGCTAACCCACCAGCAATTCTGCCGGAGAAAGGTCTGCTTCCATAAAGATTTACAGCGTGAGAAACCCTATGGGGTAGGTCATATAGGGTAACTGGGTTGGAATCAACTAGATGGTAATGTGTTTTGAGATTTTGAAGATAAATTATGTGGCCATCCTACCTGGAACCACTTTTTATTAAAAGAACTCTAAGGTGTTCTAATAACTGAGAGGTTTGTAGAAACCGGCCCTTATTTACCTGTGTAATTCTTCAAGAAACCCTGTCCTTCCCAAATGTCTTTTATAACCAAAGACTGCTTTTTTTTTTTTAATTGAACAGAATAAAAATAATGTTAATTTATTGAGGTATAGGTATGGGATTTAAAAACCAAACTTTAACATTTTTAACATTTGCATAACATTGACTATTTTAAAGCATTTAGTGTAACCATCACCGCTGTTTAGTTCCAAAATGTTATCATCACATGAAAGTAAACAAACCACATGCCCATTTCCCCTTCCCCAAAGTCCTGGCAGCCACTTATCTGATTTTTGTTTCTGTAATTAAAACTACACATTTTATATGACAGGAATATAGACCATTATTTTCCAAAGTGAACCATAATTTATAGAATGTTAGTGGATATGCTTCAGTGTTTTGTTAGTATTATGGTCTTAATCTGCAGTTATACACTGTGAATCTGTCATACTCTTTGAACAGCTATTTTTTGTGGAAATGGTGTCTTATTTTACCCAGAAATGGTCAGTAGGTTCTGTGAATAAATGGATGTGTCCATCATTCAGAATACATTATGTCTAGTGGTCAGCCTTTTTGGTGTGACCTTGAATTCATACTTTCTTATTCTCAATGGGTCAAACAAGATCAGGCTTGCTGATTGGCTTGCCAACTTATTGTCCAAATACTAGGGAGTTTATTTAATTCATATGGATAAGCCTTGGCATCATTTTGCAAAAGAATTGCTTGAGCTATATTCCTCAGGAAGGGCTATATGTCTGGTACCTTCTTTGATTCAAATATATATTTTTTTTATTTAAGGTTTTTATTGTAGATTGAGTGAAAGTTTACAGGGCATATCATCAGTGTTACATTCAATAAATCATACACCTGGTTTCATTACATTCATTATAATCCCCTCCATGTACCATCAGTTAACAGTATTTCTCTTTGTCCACTTTAGCTTTTTAAAAAACAAACAAAAAACCACTCGGGCATATATAATAATTTACATCTCCAAAGGACACAGTCTGCCTCCTGGCCACTAGCATCCAGAGTCCAGAGTCCTCAACCACTCCCCCTATCCCTGCCCTCATCTTTGCCTCCATTTCTGGCGCTACTGCTTCTCTGGACAAGGTCCCGCATTCTGGGTGGGGCTGGGGTGTCCACTAGCTCAGGCACCCCTGTAGGTACCAGAATGGAGGAACACAGACAGCAAGGGACCAATTAACAGATACCATAAGAAAAGAATGTCCACATCTTTATCTCCGTGGTTCTACCAGGAGTCTGGCCGCTCCGATGCTTCCCTGCTTGGTCTCACCCAAGATGGCAGCTCCTGGAGCAGCTGAGCATCTTGAATTAGAAAGTAATGGATTTCCTGCTTCTGCTACAAATTCCCTTAGTTGTAAGACTTACAACCTTTTAAAATTTCCTTTATATGTGGTACAGAGTTTTGGGACCATCCCCTGAGCCTGCTTGGTCCTGTATTCTGTGTTGTTGCTGACAGAGCTCCTCACTGCACTTCCACCGGATCTGCCATCTTATTTGTTCTCCTCTCAAATATCTTTTAATTCTGAGAATTCAGAGATAACTTTCATTAAACAGCTTTTAAAGCAACCCCCAGCCCAGTACCTCTTTCCCTCTCTTTTCTTTCAGACATTAACATGGTTTTGTTTTTCTTTAAAGTATTTTATATTATACTGTAATATAATTTACTTGTATATTTTCTTCCTCTCCCTCTAGAATGTAATGCTTGTGTTTTCCAGTTCCTTTCTCCTCTGGAACATTGTGCCTAGAACAGTATCCTACATTAGTATTTGGGATTGAAGCGGGATTGTTGTTCGTGCCATTGTCTAGGTTATGACTCATAGTGACCCCTGTATAGAATTTTTGAGGAGCAGTTGGTGGGTTTGAATTGGGAGTCCAGTGCTTATCCTACAGTACCACACCAGGGCTCCAAATTAGAATTAAAATTGAAAATTAGGATTAAAGACCTTTTTTTATGCCAGTTTCCTCATTTGTGCTTTCTGATCAGTTTTATACTTCATGAACTTAAAAACAAGCCCCAAGATTTCAGTTGTAGGTGTATCTTTTTTAGTTCCCTTAACTAAAATCTGTTATCTTAATCATCAGTATTTTTTTAAAATTCTAAACAAGGCAAACAATATTAGTTAGGTCAGATAGACACTTACCTTTGAGATGTGTGTGCACTTGGCATTAAATGATTGAAATCTTTTGCTACCGAGTCAATTCTGATTCATAGGAAACATGTAGGACAGAGTGGAGCAGTGCCCCATTGGATTTCCAAGGTTACACAGTTTTGTGGAAACAGACTGCCATGTCTTTGTCTTGAGGAGTGACTGGTTAGTTGGAACTGCCAACTTTTCATTTAGCCGCTGAGTGCTTAAAATTACTGTACCGCCAAGGCTCCTGTCATTAAGTGATTGTGAAATTTTATTCTAATCTACCAAATCTCTAATTTTGTGGGGTAGTAAGATTTGCCATATATCGGAATATCTTAGTGTTAGAAATACATGAAAGTTACTTGTGCTGCTGTGTTTTTTAAATTGGCTGTTTTTGAGCTGTCTTGCATACGTTTTCACATATTTGTTAATGTAACAGTGTTCTGGTTTAGAAATAAAAACAAAATAGCTGAGTATAAGGTATTGCTTCTTAATAGTTTTTATTTAATATTTTATTGTGTATTATGTGATAGTTTACGTGGGAGAACATTAGTTTTACATTCATCCTATCATATATAGTTTCACTGCCATGGTTACAATCGCCTCCATTCATCATCAACCAACCACAGGGTATACCCTGTAAACCTGTCCCCTGGTTGTCAGCACACAGCCCCTTTCCCTCTCTGTTTAAAGTTCCCAGCCATTCCATCTTATCACGTCATGGTCTCTTCCTTCATCTCTGGTGTCACTACTTCTCTGGGTAGGGTCCGCCCTTCACTCTTCTACCTTGATGGTCCCAGGGACCTCTACTCTTAGACTGCAAAGTTAATCACTCCCCCTTCTTGCTATAAAATGTCTACCTTTACATTTCCAACCCTCACAATCAGTCCTGATAACAATTATTCACTATTGTATCACAAGACCTATCCGCATTTCCTTTCATCAGCCCCACCCAGACAGATTGGATACTACTTGTTGG